TTGTTACTTTATGAGGGTGAAAAGGATAACTATTGCATTGTTCTGTATACCTGAAACTAACAATTAAAAAAAAAAAAAACTTTGAGGGTAGGTACCTTGTTTGCTACATATTTGGGGCCCCAGTACGTGGTACCTTTTATGGAGCTAAATAAAGGTGTGGTGTGCAGTAACTCTGTGGTGAAGGGGGAATGAAAGGGACTGAAATTTTTCTTTTAAGATTTTATTGGGGAATTGGGGGAGGGGAATAGTGTTGGAGAATTGGGGAAGGGGAACAGACAAGTTGTTGTCCTTCAGTCTTAGTTGTGGAGGGCGCAGCTAACTCAGCTCCAAGTCCAGTCGCCATCCGGCCGCCCGTCGTCAGCAGCTCGCGACCCCTCAGCTCAAGGTGCCATGTTCAATCTTAGTTGCAGGTGGGCATAGCCCACCATCCCATACGGGAGTTGAACCGGCAACCTTGTTCTTAGGAGCACCTGCTCTCACCATGTGAGCCATCCTGCTACCTGTTGGCAGCTCAGCGGCAGCTCAGCTCGGGTGCAGCTCACTGGCCCGTGTGGGAATCAAACCAGTGATCTTGTTGCTCAGAGCTCACGCTCTTAACAAACTGAGCCACTTGGCTGGCCCAGGGACTGAAATTTAATAAAGGGAATATTTTAGTTCGGGATTGCCTGGAGTACAGATCCAAAATTACAGTGAGCTTTCTATTTCTACATAAGGAGTAAACTGGTATGCTCCTGGGTGGTTGGGTAGAATTTCTCTTTGCTACTTAATCTTCCTACTTAATACTAGCCACAACTTGTCTTTCAATCTAACCAAAACCAGAATAATTCATTGTACCGTGTATATAAATATAGACGTTCTGCAATTGCAAAATTTCCAGGAAAATCACAGGAATGTGTCTTTGTAGCAGTCCTTGTCATCAGCAGTAGATAGAGAAAGATCAAGAGGAACAAACCCTGGGCCGGCCGAGTGGCGTGATGGTTAAGAACTCGCTTGGGACGCCAGAGGGCCCCGGTTCGGATCCCACATATGAGGGCCAGTGACACTGCCCTCCGCAGCTGAGATGCTGAACAACAGCTCAACCTGGAGCTGGGCTGCCATGAGTCGCCGGCGACGGCGTAGGCTGCAGTCCCTGTGGCAGTGGATTGCCAT